GCAGCTCAGGGTATGATGGGGTCTGGCGACAAACCCCTGAAAGATTATTTTTCTGCTGACCAATATGCCCGCCTGAACGCCTTTGCCAACGACAGCCTGGGCATTAACCTGGCGATGCTGCAACAGATGAAACCCGTGATGCTGCAAACCTTGTTTACCACCAAAGCCATCAGCTGTATGATCCCGGTTTCGTATGAAGCCAATATCATGGAAGAGGCCAAACGCCAGCAATTGAATGTAAGCGGCCTCGAAGCGGCTGAAGAACAGTTAAATGTGCTGAACAGTATGCAGGATGATACAGTTGCCCAATCGCTGGTACAAATGGCGGATAGCTTTTCAGAGAGCAGGGCGGCATTTCAAAAGATGCTGGCGGCTTATAAAGCACAGGATCTGCCCGCGCTTTATGACCAGATCAAAGAGTCGAAAGAATTGGGTGATGACCTGGGTGTATTCCTTGACGACAGAAATGAAAAGTGGATTCCACGTATGCAGGATAAGATGAAAAATAAACCGGTCTTTTTTGCGGTTGGTGCCGGGCACCTCTGGGGCGACCAGGGTGTGATCAATCTGCTACGCGAGGCGGGATATGTGGTGGAAGCTGTTAAGTAATAACCGAATCTCCGTACCTACAACAGCGCGGGTGGCCATGGCCACCCGCGCTGTTTCGCATTAAAAAGGGAGAATTACAATCCAATGTGGTTTAGTTAGCCCCGCATTTACTTTAAATGCCGTCAGGGGACGGCACCCCGCCCAAGCGAAGTCAGGGGACTTCGTTTAACGCTATTCTTAACTGAACGAATTGAAATTACAATCCCCACATAACGCCAAAGTTGAGACGTACGTTGCGGTTACCATTAAAGTCTTTGTTTCCATCATTTTGAACGGCATCCAGCAAACCATGGTAATAACCGGCATCAATATTAAACCAGGTTTTACGCGCCAGGCGCACATTGGCACCGACACCGGCATTAATGCCTATATCAAAGGTCCGGAACATATCCGTATTGCTCATGGTTCCTTCACCCGGTGATGGCTCCTTTTCAGAATAATAGCGCTTCTCATCGAGCTTAAGGCCTAATGACGGTCCGGCGTAGATCTTGGGGCGAACGGCATTGCCATATTTACCAAAGAAGTAGGTAATATTCATCGGCATACGCAGGTACACTGGATTTACGCCCATATTCTGTATGCCGCCATTCCCGTCTGATACATCTCCCTGATAACCTTCGTGGGATATCAGCAATTGTGTATTATATCCCCAGTGCTCACTATGGGAATATGTTAACCCAATGCCCAACGCCGGTGAGATCTTAAAATCTCTGTGATCATTTTTAGGCAGGCCGCGTACCCAGCTATGCCCCACAGCACCGGCTACACCTATAGATAGCGTAGATGCTTTCTTTGTTTTCTTTGCATCAGCTGTTACGGCTGCGGACATTACCAGGCCCATCATAAGGATCATTAGCTTTTTCATAAGTATCATTGTTTGGTTGCCTCTGTCCTTGCAAAGACTATGCCATTGTTGATCTTGCGCTTATATAACTTCCATTATACTTTGAAAACGTTTTTTACTGAAGTAAGATGATTTGTCGGGCAATTAACGGACTTTAGCAACTGCAACCACAATAAGGGCAGCATAT